GGTTCCAGGAGAGACCGTCGTGCTATTTCCCAGAGCATGATTGATACTTCTAGGATTCTTTCGGTGATTGTGCAGCACGGTCGCTTGGAAATCTGTGTGATCACGGTGTACTTACCGCCATGCCGGGTTCAGGGGAGACAGCGTGATCAGGAACGCAAGGCTCTTCGGGAGTCTCTGTGCTCCCTTGCGGTGGAGTTGGCTCCGGCCATGATTATGGGAGACATTAACTCAGACGTGCATTCTGTGGGTGCCCTTGCACCACTCCGCACAGCCCTGATCTGCGTGCTGTACAGGTCCAGCGTGCCCGCCGACTGCTGCACCAGCCCGGGGATAGACCCGCCGAAGGCTCCGAAGTGCAGCTTCGCGATTCCGCCCGGCGGCACCGAGAAGTCCAGGCGCGCCGTGCTCCAGACGCCCTGCGAGGGCGTGCCGAGGAAGGTGCCGGTGACGCCCACGTAGTCGTTGTCGGCCGCGCTGACGTACATGACCAAGTTGGAGGCCGTGCCCAGCCGGTACCGGCAGCCGAAGGAGTAGCGTCTCCCCGGCGTCAGCGTGTAGGTGCGCACGATGTTCCAGGCGAAGGCGCTCAGGGTCATGGCGTAGCCCTCCAGCTGGAAGCCTCCCACTGTGAAGCTGGCCGAGGCCACGGTCAGACCTTGGGTTCAACGTACCAGGAAGATGTCCGCCATGACATCATGTTTTTGTGTCCCTTCATGATTCGATCCTTGTTTTCTGCAGGTACCATTGCCGATTATGCTTTCCCGCAGCACCACCCTTTGTATGGGGTATTTCAACTGGATGCCCTCGTGTGTCGTTCTGTTGATTGGAAGCTGCCTAGACTTCTGACCCCGGAGCAGAGGGTTTTCTTGAAGAAAACGGGGTCTTGGTTTTTGGCGTTGGAGGTTCTGGAAAATCAGGAGGGAGGGATTGATGCTTTCCTGACCAGCTCAAATTTCCGGTGCGACCCATTCCTTGCACTAAGCCGTGTGTGCGAAAGATCTTGGAAGCATGCGTTGAAGGCAGAGCCGCCATCACTGAAGATGAAGTCGTCTCAGGAGGGTAGATGTAAACATCCTACACTTAAAGTGCTTCAACCTCTCAAGTCAGTCAAGCCTGGTAGAGTGTCTGATTATCAGGTTGAAGATGAGATCCACTCTGTGCATGCCAAGCAAGTTGTCAGGCAATGCCGCAGATTGCAGGCCTTGATTAGGTGTGTGGATAAGTATCGTAGGGAGGAGCCCGCTGTTGCCCTGGGTGAGCAAATCACTTCGATTCAGGGGCAAGTGCATTCTGCCTGTGGTTTTGGGATGTCTTATGCGGGTTGGTCTTCAGCAAAAGGACTTGAGGTGCTGCAACAGCATTTTGCCGCAGTTGACATCTTTGCTAAGCAAGCGGTCTCTAGGCAGAAGAGTGCGTGCCATCAGGATTGGAAAGTGCGTTTGCAGAAATCATTCAGTGGCCAAGGAGGCAAACTTGCTTTTCATCATATCCGGAATGAGTTCACGCCGGAAGTTGCTCAGGCGACGGTGCTTGAAAAACCTGCTCTGGTTTCCCGGAGGTGCCGCATCAAGTGTAAACCGGTTTTGCAGCTTCAGCAGCCTGTGTATGCTCCTTCTCGTGTTACCTGTCAGGGCCAGAACCTTGAGCTGCTTGAAGACCGTAGGACCATTATGGTTCACCCGGGCCAAGAATTGAACAGGGCTGACATTCGCCTTGAGACATGGCTCACTCAGCCGGAAGATATTCATAGAGAGTTCTTTCGCTTCTGGGATCAGTTCTGGAATCCTACCGCCAGGCTTGGTGACCTTGATTTGCCTGAAGTTGGCGATTTTGGAGGTGGTTTTCCGTTGAACTTGGACCCGTGCATCACAAGCGCTGAGGTGCGCATCACCCTTGCTCGCACTCGGTCTAATACCAGTGTCGGATCTGATGGATGGTGCTTGCGTGATTTCAAATGCCTTGATGAGAAGCTTCTTGACCTCTTTGTAACGGCTTGGAATGACATTTTCGCCAACAAACTGCGTGTGCCATGCTTTCCAGAGTGTTACTTTTGGCCAAAATTCTTGAGCCTGACCAGATCACGGACTGCCGTCCTATCACTATTGCCCCACTGTGCTACAGAATTTTTGCACGCACTTTGAGTCGCAAGCTCACCTCGCAACTGCTGCCGTCCCGGGGTCTTGGGAGGACTTCCAGGGCGTGCCTCGTGGGAATCGTACTACTGCACCCAGGTGTTGATTGAGAATGCCCACCTTTTTGCAGGGAAGTCTTTACGGAGCCAGTATGGACATAGTAAAGTTCTTCAATTTTTTGCCTCGTGGATTTGTCCGCCAAGTGTTGACTGCAGTGAAGGTCCCTCCTGTTGTTGTTGAGGTGTGGACGGGTCTCCTTGACTCAGTGCATCGACATTTGCGGGTACAAGGAAGTCTCTCCCGGGGATTCACTTCCCAAACGGGTGTCCCGGAAGGTGATCCCTTGAGTGTGCTCACGTCAGCGGTTTTTGGCGCTTTTTGGCTGCATAGGATCAAGTTGTTGAATGGAGGTGGCGGACATGGTAAAGTCATCGCCACGGTGTTTGTTGACAATCTTGATCTTACATCCAACTGCCGGCCTCTCTTTGAAAAAGCAATTCAGGAAACTTTGCAGCTACAGGATGAGCTCGCACTCCAGATAGATGCCAAAAAATCTTGGACATGGACGGTGAATGTACCGTCAAATGACCGTCCTCGGGTAGCATGGAAGAGGCAGCAGCATGGGAAGAGTCTTGGAGCTCCCATGACGTATATCAAACTCCCTCGTAATGCTGTCCAGATTGCTAGGTTTGAGGCCGCGATTCCTCGTCTCCGAAAAATTGAGCTGTTGCCGATCGAGATAAAGGAAAAAATCCGCTTGATCAAGGCTGGTGTACTTCAGGCTGCCCTGGCGTGTTCCGAAATCACTTACATTGGTGGAAAGCATTTTCAGCATCTCCGAGACCAGGTCTGTACTGCTTTGTGTCATGCCCATCATTGGGCGCATCGTAAGACAGCACTGTTCTTGCATGACCCCGAGGTCGACCCTTTGCTTTGTGCCTTGTTTATGCAGATCCGCATGCTCAGGAGACCTCTTTGGAGCAATGACCAGGCTTGGTCGTTCGCACTTGGAGTTTTGTCAGGGGACATTGAACACTCGGGGTCCGTTGACTGCCTTGCGGGCATATCTGACCAGCGTTGACTTGACAGTTGATGGTGAGGGATTCCTCCATTCCTCTTTGAGGCCCAAAGTGCATCTTCGAGAGGACGATTGGTTGCTTTTGCAGGAATGCATCCTTTGTGCGTGGGGTCAGTGCTTGTCAACGGAACTTGGAAAGAGGAAAGGTGTGGTGCGTGACCTTGACATTGATTGGGATATGACTCGGTTAGTCATTGGCAAGCTGTCGAGTGTCCAAGATCGGGGGGCTGCGCACGTCCATCTCTCTGGGGCAATCGCTACGGAGGAGAGATATAGCAAGGTCTCCAATTGTCCACCCACCTGCCCGGCGTGTGGTGAAGTAGACACGGTTGCGCATAGGGTGTTACGATGCAGCCATACGCAGGCGATCCGTGATGACTGCCCCGTGTTGCAAAATTTGGATGAGACCGCGGCTCTTTTCCCTTTTGTGCCACTTTTGCCAGCCAGTGAAGCCTATCAAAAATTGCATTGCCAGGCCAGAGGTGTCATGGACGCCAGTCGCATCGGATATGGTTGTGACCCTGTATACAGATGGTGCTGGCAAAAATCCTACATCGTCAGTGTGTGACACTTCTTTCGCAGTTGTGCTGCTTGAAGACCTGAGCAATCACTGCATTAGTCGCCTTGCACATGATGCACGCCTCTCTGGGGCGGCGCCCCCAGTTTTCTCGGTTTTCAGTACTGGAAAAACTCGAGGGAGACAGACTGTTAGTAGGGCAGAACTCTCGGCAGCCATTGTTGCAATTGGCAGTTTCCGCAATCTCCGCCTGGTGACCGACTCTATGTCTGTGATCAACACGATTGCAGCAATTCAGGCTGATCCGCGGCCTTCGAAGTGGGTCAATCGGCCCAATTTTGTTGCGGCTTATCAAAGCCCTTGAGGCTCAGATCAATCGTGGTCGATAAGATCAAAAGTCATCAGGATGCTAGTGGGGATGTGCGAACTCTTTCTGACTCCAAGCTCATTGATTTCTGGGGGAATCATCTTGCTGACGAGGCGGCTGGAGCAGCACTTGATGCAGACTCTCAGGAGGCACTGCTCGTGCGAGATACAGCGCAGGTTGCAGTTGGATTCCGTAAACGTCACTGGGGGTTGGTCATGTCGGGTGTGGCTAAGACAGTTCGTGCCTTTCCTGTAATTAGAGCAGATGACAATCCTCGTGCGGCAGGGCGTGAAGAGGCTGACGCTCCGCTTGTCCCTGTTGCGGCGCCTGCAGGTTTTGAACCATTGATTTTGCCATCTCCGGCGATCCTGCAGTTTGCCAGTCCCTGGACGCACACCTTCGCTCAGGCTTTATATAACTGGGTTCAGAAGTTGTGTTGGCCCACCATGCCGGTGGAAACTTGGGGAGTCTGGTTGAGTTGTTGATCTCTTTTAAACTTGAGACCGGCCTAAATGTGCCAGTTGCGAACCCGGATGACCCTGGATCATTTACCCCGTCCCGTATCAAACCAGCTGTTTCCGACTTGACGTCGCTTGGGGATGAATCTCGGCGATTCTCCAGTGCAATCCAATCTCTTGAAACTTCACTGCAGACCTTCGTGTTGCCTTGGAGTGAACCCTTTTTCGGGGCTGTCACTAGCCTTGGGTACCCTTTTCGGATGATGAAGCTTTCTGGTTTCAGGGTCCGCCCATGGATACCGCATGAACCTGAGGTTCAACGTCTCTTTGGTGAGTATCTGGGTAGGCTTACGACCAAGGCTCTTGCATTGCCGTTGCATGTCGAGACTGCAGAGAGTCTCCCAGTGTCGCCTTATGATGCCTTGGTTGTGAAACACGTCCATCGTAAAGGAGCTAATGCTCATCAAAAACGGTGGTCACGGAGAGGTCAGGAGAGAGCCACCTGCCTGGTGTGGCCCTGACAGTGTGATTGTCCTTTCGTGCTGGGCTTGTATGTGCTGCATTGAATAGTGCTACGTTGAGACCCTGTGTCAAGTGTCGGTCTAGCGAGGTGTGACACCTTTTCATATTTGGCGTCCCCTTTGGTTTCATTCGACTTGATCCACTTGCGCCCTGCTTCACAGTGTACGTGACCACTGGCCTTGCTTGGATCTTGTCGCAATTGAATTGGAGAATACCCTGTTTTGATGATCAGGTATACCTCTGGATGTGGTGTGGAAGAGCAATGGTATTACCATGCACTGGCTTCACCAGTACTTGATCCTCGCCCTCAGCATATGTGCCGGTATCTTGCTTGATACTCCAAGTCCTACTGGTCGGCCTTGCATTGTAATTGAATGAGTATGTTGGCAGTGGGCGTGAGGATCGTGCTTGTCCACGTCCGTTTTCTTCAGAAGTGGTGGTTGGTTGTACATTGCTTCAGATCCACCACTTGCTGGGTTCTCAGTGGATAAGCTGTGCTGGAGGCATCTCGGTGTATGGCGGGCACCCCTATTCAGGATGCAGACGGTATTCATTGATGGTACCTTCTTATGGAGATGGTGACATGGAGGGCGACTTTGCCTTGCCTGTGCCTTCCGGACCATGCAGTTTTGGCGTAGCGGCGTCTCCTCATTTGACGTTTCCCCTTCTTCTATGCTGGCGTGGTCCACTGGTGCTTTGGTGCACCAGGGATGTGACCATTGGCCTTGTTTGGGTCTTGTCACATTTGATTGATGGAATACTTTGGTATAATGGTCGGTCATGCCTCTGGATGTGTTCTGGAAGAGCTGTATCTGGCCATGTGTAACCATGGTATTACCATGCACCGGCATTTTCACCTCTCATAGTGCTGGAATGAGTGAGTTGGCCATTGGCGTGTGAATCATGAGCTTATCATTGGGAATTCTCTCCAGGAGTGGCGGTTTGGTATGCATTACTTCGGTACCACCACTCGATGGCTTCTCGGTGGATGAGCTTTGCTGATAAGGCATTATGGTGCATGGGGGAAGTATGCTTCAGTAATTGGCTGATGGTATCCTTGTGGACGCCCATGCAGGCATTGACCTTCCGGGTCATGCCACCTTGTGATGACACCTCTCTGGAGTTTCATCTCTTGATGGATGTCAGAAGCTCTGGTGGTATAATTCTGTGGGAATACTGTGCAAGCACCAGGATCTTGCGATACAGTTGGGTCAAGATTTCAGGGGTTGTAGTCGGGTGTTGGCATCAGACTTGTTCGACTGGACAAATGGGCCGCTTGCTTCCTGGGGGTGAGGTTCCCGGTCTTTTGGGGTGGTGGCCCCTCTTTGTTTGGCGCCCTGGCCGGGCTGTCTTCTTGGGTGGTTCTTTTCCCTTGGGGGGCAGGACCGGGGGCTTTCTACCCCTTCAGTGGTAGGCTGCCCGGCATCGTATTCGAGCCAACAAGGTTGCTGATCACCTTGCAGGCATTGCACGGGCGGCAGCCAATCGGGGGCTGTCTGCCACCGAGCGCCCAGTGCTCCCTATCTCACTCTTGAACTCGATTGGGGCTATCCTCGAGGCTGCTGTCGATGCCAAGTGTGCTTTGGACCTCATCGAAGTCCCCCTTGCTTCATGGGAAACGGTTGCGGGGTGGGTCGCCCAGCACCCTCGTTTTCGGCCAATCTCGTCTGCATACATCGCTCGAGTTCTTGCGGGTGGTGGGCTAGTTCATGTTGCATATACCTGGCAGCCAGACGCGGCCTCTCCGTCTCAGCCTTTACGGCCTCAACCACTGGGAGATCAGTGTGGAGAGGTGCTGGTTTGAGGTCGCCCGTCAGGCGACTCAGGTGCAGCCGCTTTCAGACTTACGACGGACTGTTGGACCAAGTCTCCAGCTTGCTTCCCGTGCGCAGTTCCGGCGCTCCTCGTTTGGCGCGTGCTCGTACTGCTGTGCGGCAGACATTATGCCAAGGTGCTGGTCCGGCTATCTGCCGCATTCAGCAAGATGACCTTTTTGTTGCGGAGGAGCTTTGTCGAGTGTTGCGCCAGTCGGAATCCTGCTGCCGAGCCGCTGCCGACACCCTCGACCCTCACTCGCCTATTAGGATCGATGTTCTGCAGCGTGCTGAGTTTCGTGATGAGTGGGACCGGTGGGAGGCACTTGGCCAGATCATTGTCCGTACGCTCCTAGATGTGCTTCGGGACCTTTTCACATTGATAGCGTGGTTTGGCTACGCGACTGCTTTTGGGTTAACCCTTGCCCGCCAAAAGACCTTCTGGTTGCTGCGCTGTCCCAGCGCGAAGGTATTGTTGCTACGACTGGTAGGGGCCCCCCTATTGTACTTTCAAAGGTTTCAAATCAGAGCACGACAGTGCAGTCTCGCAATGTGATTTCACGCAAACGCAAAGTCGATGTTCCGGCTCATACCTTACACACCTTTTTCCGGCGTACTACACGGAAATGATTTTGGGTATGTGGCCGTCTGGCCAATTTCCTACAGCGGTGCCTTCATGCCTTGCGCAATTGTACCGGGCCGCTTTATGGTCTTTCGTCTTGCCGGGAATGCCTCGGCTCACAGGACTAGGTGCCAGGTTCTAGCACGATCCGGCCCCTCTGTTTCGGGTAGCAGCGCGGGTTTTGACTAGCCATGGTTGTGGTGGTCATCGGCCCTCGCATCTCCTTCCCTTACATGACCATTGAAGCAGAGGGGGCGCTCCAGCAGGCTGACATCATAGTGCGCAAGGTTGGTCAAGATTTCCTCCTGAATTTTGCTGACAGGCCGTGGCAAGAACAAGTGCGTCGCGCTCCGAGTATCCTGCGCAGGACGTTGACATTCGTGCCCATCTACCAGCTGTCGACCTTGGCCATGTCCTGAGGCGCCCTGATGGCCTGATGATCACAGGCCCGAACATGGCGGCGAGGCGGAAGTTGGCCTGGATGGCGGATGCCGTGGTCCCGGCTGGGGCAGTGCGCTATGCTGCTTGGGTTTCTGCTCATGACTCTGGCGACCCCTTTGGCCCGGTTTCAGTTCCCGTTGCCGAGGTGGCACACTGGACCTGCAAGATCGCCCGCTGAGTGGCTTGCTGGTGATGAGGCTCCAGTGACTGGCCCCGTAGAGGGCGAACACCGGGCAGTGGACCCCCGATTTCGGCCGATGACACAGTGGTATTCCTCTCGGAGCTTCTTCATTGCCTGGAGAGTACCCTGGCGGCTGCACAGCGGGCACTCGGCAGTGCACAGGGTCGTGGGCGGCAGGAAGGCATCAGTTCCTGACTTCCTGGTGGTGCATTTGGCGGAGCTCCTGCTGATCGGCAGGTTGTCGTGATATAAACCGTTGTGGCCGAGTGCTGGTCTGGCCCGGGTTCTGGTTTAGTTTGTTTGGTTTGGGTCGTTGGGCAGTCTTATTGACAGGGTGTCGAAGTCCTTTTGGTGCCTGTAGGGGGTGGACGTTTCACGTTCGTACCCTGTTTGGCTCTACCAGGGTGTACGGGATCGAGTAGGATCCGTTCCGCTACTTCGGTGTGCCACTGGGCACTCGGCGTGCCGCCGCGAGCACACAGCCTGCTCCTTCTCGAAGTCCACCGATGCCATGTCACTACAGAGGCCCTCTCCCGCGAGGGTATCGCCATCTATGTTGTCACTACCTCATGCTGCTTGAGGAGGGACACCCTGCTGGCTACGGCCCCTCGACTGAGGCTTGGATTCCGCGTTGCTGGACCTTGGTGCAGCGGCGCTCGGAGCTTCCAGAGGCCGATCTAGAGCTGTGTGGCCTGGTGCCAAGGAACCTGGAAGCTGGCCATGTCCTGTGACGGCCTGATGGTCCCGGCTGGACCTGCGCGCTATGTCGCCTTGGTGCCTCCGGCTGAGGGGGACAACTGCCAGTGTCCTATTTCCATCGCCTCGGATGCTTCCCGTCTCCTTGGCGCTTCACTGGGCCTGGTCACCGGTGCTAACCCAGGCGATGCTCGCGACGCTGCAGAGGACGTGGATCTGACGCATTTTCTTCGTTATTTGGAAACCTCGTTGGGAACGGTTGAGGACACCCTGTCTGGGCTTCGGCAGCAGATCACCGAGCGGGTTCGCCATTTGGAACGCCAAGGTCTCGGCTCGTCATGATGGCCATGGTGGCTCGCTTTCGCGATCAAGATGACAGGTGAGCAAGTTTGTGTCATGCCTCACTCCTTGCTATGTCGCTAGTATGCTGGCTGGTTGCGCTCATGCATCCAAAGCAGCCAGGGCCTGGCGACTGCTTGTGGGTGGTCTGGCTTGGGATAGCACCAGTCTGCGGAAGTGCATTCCTGCTCCGTCGCAGGTCGGAAGCCGGCAGGGCGCCAGTGTGACGGTCCTGGAGATCTTGGAGTGCAAAGGCAGTGTTTGTCGGAAGGAGCCTGTTTTGCTGACCCTTCCTATGCCTACCTGGGCCTTCCTATGCCTACCTGGGCCAGCTGCAAGGCCAGGGAAGGAGGGTATTCAGCGGTCAGAGTGCTGAGGTATACCCCTTGTTCTTTCACGCCTGCAATGCTTCGGTGCTTGTATGAGTGATTGCAACGGGCCTCCAGGGCCCGTATTTTGGAGCTGTTGCAGCCGAACGCCCACGATTTGGACAAGGCCTTCTTGTGCCTGCAAGCGTCCACCCACACCAAGGCGCATTGATGATCGCGCAGCATTTGGAAGTTAGCCTCTTCCAGCCAGGACATGGCTGATGGCGGTTGTTCCCAAACGCCTACGCCTCCTTTGGAGACCACTGCTCTGAACAGGGCTCTGCCGCGGTCGTGAATGGTCTTGCTGTCCAGCAGTTTCTTACGCTGCGAAGGCGAAAGGCCGGGAACCCCGTTCATGTGCTGCTCAAGGCTTTGGGCCCGCCAGGGCGTAGTTTGAGTCTGGAATACTCTTTGCAAGGCGGGGCAAGCATTATCAGGGCCACGACTCCTGACCAGCAGAGTCTGAGAAGGGCTTCGAAGACTACGTTATCCAGGATGTCGTGCGCAGTGTCTCCATCCAGATCAAAAGGCTCAAAGCAGTCAAGGCCGAGGCTAATGGCTGCCGATGTCACCGGGTGCAGCCTACCTGCAAACACGTCCAATAAGAGCCCGAATGCAACGGTGATTCCGATGAGTTTTCTTGGGCGGGCGTGTGTGGCCTTGGCGACGCGCCTGGCTCGTTTCGGCTCGCACAGGGCAGCTTCCACCGGCCTATGCTCTGGTGAAGACGGCGTATGGCCGCGGTTTGGCTGCCCGATCCTGCGCCGGTCCAAGATCCGGGCTGTTTCACGTGTGTTTGTTGTGGTCCATGGCGGGGTGCTTTTGCTGGCAGCCCACTATGGCGCACACGTGGGCGAAATGGCACTGGTCGTTACTACAAATGCCCGTCTGGTAGCGCTGGCAGACCTCGCGCCCTTTGTAGGTAGTGCACCACTCTGCTTTGGGCTTTGGCGATGGCGTGGCTCCTTTGGATTTCCCCTTGCCTTTCTTGGTGGGGCGTGAAGGCGTGCGGGCTGGCTTAAGGTCGCGCTTGGGTCCCCTTTGCCGTGGTGTTGCAGGGCGTGGCGGTGCTGGCA